AACAACTTTCAAATGCTTTAATGCGGTATTAAGCTTGTCTTGGATTTCCATGGCAAGTGCTTTCATGGGTGTAATATAGACAATTAAGAAGGGAGAATCATCAATGTGAGGTGGAATTCCCGGAATTTCGATAATATGTTTTTTAATTTCATGAAGAATAGTAATCATAGCGACATTTGTTTTACCAGCACCTGTTGGTGCACAGACAAGCATATTGTCGTCCGTGTTGTATCCTGTTTCGAAAATTTGGGATTGAATATCATTAAATTCTGTACAGCCGTTAAAACATTGTCGTACCCAATCTGGTAAATCAGAAAGTTGTTTTCTATCGATTTTTGGCTTCTCAAGAGTAGTTGCTTGAACATCATATCTTGACATGTTGATTGTTTCGGTATTTTTATAAATTGCTTTTACGACTGGTTTTATTGGCTTAGTGCGCTTAATTGGAGCTAAAATTGGTTTCGATTCTTGTTTAGTTTGACTTGAATTTTGATCTTTCTGATGAAAATATTTGATAATTTGATCTCTCCAATCTAAAAATACATCCACAGGAGTCTTTACTGAAGGTCCTAATAGATTTGACAATTTTGATCGTATATTTACATCCGATGAATCCGAAAGAAGTAATTGTGTGATATTTTCCACAACTTCTTCCGGATACTCTGCCTTGGAGGATTCAACAACATTCTCTAGCCAAGATTCAACTGTTGATCCGGCCCAAGGTTCAGAACTCATCTAAATTTGCCACTTTTTCTCACTTCAAGAGATGAGAAATCATTACTTTCAACTCTACACGTGAATAAATTAGTTAGATATGTCTTTTACAGATGTATTAGTGCGATGATTTGGCGTTATTACCTCAAATATAGATAGATTGTAATTTGTGATGAAATCTTTTGAAGGAATCAGACATAAATCCAATGTTTAATGAAAATATTCGTTGTGTGTGTGCATGTGATCTATTCCATATTAACTTAAGCTGTAAAATATTTTATCATATAATTTTCAGGGGTAAAAAATCATTTAGGTATTTAATATCAAGTTATATACAGGCATTACATATGTATTTCCTGTGAAATAATTTAATAAATAATATCCTTATGATAGATTTGTAAGACTGTTTTCTCCACAGATAAAAAGGGGTTAAAATCAGAATTGAACTTTCTCTGTTCCAGCACAAAAGACATAATTCTACGCCCTAAGATTTGATTGGCGTGTTTTCAAAATTTTGAACTTATTTCTCTACCGCTACGATGAAAACTCTTCGGAAATATCAAAAGTATTCTGACAATGCGCTTATTTAACTGAGGAAAAATGTGTTCGGAGGTTGTACAAAATCTGTCGAAAATGAGAACTTTGATTGAAATGATTTTATTTATATTTCCGCCAAAACTCAGAATATCTCTTAAAAATTGAATGAATACGTATTCATAAATAAATATAGTTTAGGGGAGGTGGCATGAATATTTCGTGTGGTCGAAATTCTTAATTAATAGCGAACGCTCAATCATTCATTATCAATTTTTCGATCACTGAATTTTTAAAATAATAAACTCAATTTTAGAAGAAAATGGCGGCGATGGTAGCAACGAAGAGAATTGTGTCAAGAACACCAATTGTGTTTCAAAGACCGCAAAGCTCAATCGGACAGCTACCCCAAGCATGTAATAAGACAAAAGCAGCAATTTGTCTATTCTGTCTATTTGATGGGCTTCGAAATCCTTCAATTCGTCGATTAGTTCGTAAACCAAGAACAGTTTGCCAACGCCAACTCTTAACCTTCGATCCAACTTATTATGCGCCCGCATCTAAAAATGGAGTTCAAGATATTTACAATAACGCCGTGTAATGCAATTGTGACATGGCGGTAGATCCATCAGCACAAACAGTACTTACGTTATTGCGTAAGCATGCTACTTCTTTGCCTCCGCAGCGTATTCTAATTCATTATTTCGGCCATGGCTGCCATCCGCCAACCGACGATGGCTCATTATACTTCTTTTCTGAAGATAGAACGCGTTATAAGCCAATTAAAATCATCAACTTACTCAATTCCTGCCCATGTCCATTATGTGTCATAATTGATGCTCCAAATGCAGGATGCTTGCCACGCTTCTTCTCTTCAAAATCGGATGCGTTTGCATTTTTCGCTTGTGGTGCCAGCGAAACCCTTCCTTTGAGTATAGATGCGCCACTTGACCTATTTTCGGCCTGTCTTCTTACTCCATTCGAAACAGCCATCTGGTTCCATCGTAGGCATCATAGCAATGTTTTAGAGTTTGAAAATTCAGCAGTTAACAACAACAAAGATGTTATCAAGAAATTCCTCGATGCATTCTTAGATGCAATACTCTTCGACTCCCAAATATCAGCGATATACGAAAAATTTGCATTTGACACATCCGTTTTTGCTCTTGCGCGCGGATTTGTCCTTGCACAAAGAATTTTAAATTCATTTAACATTCATCCTTCAACATACCCAGAATTGAAGAACATGTCCAGCCACCCACTCTGGGGCATGTGGGATACAGCCATAGACTGCTTCCTTACGATGCCTTTAGACAGATCAATGATCACAGTCTTCAAAATCTTCTCGAAGTCATTCTCATCATTCCCATCCACCGACTCATTACCGATATTCTCATTCTACCTCAGAACGGAATTCCACCAAGATGCCGTTCATCTCCTTCTTAATTTCATTGATTCTACAGAAGGAGCAGCTTCGACATGCTCGAGGTCCTCCATACCAAAGATCATCGTAAACCTCGAGAAACCATCAGCAGCAAGCCTTGTTATCGTTGCCAAATGCATTGCAAGTGAAAAGATTTCTCCATTTGATCCACAAATCCCAATAAACTTCCAGAACACGAAAGATCCTGGTGTCCTCAAAGCCGGATTCCTCTGCCTCGCATTGTCTATTTCAATTACAGGCCAAACCGCTTTTTCACGTTTGATTCCATTATGTATTGAAAAAGCAACGCAATGCGCTCCTTATTCCGCTTTGTTCTTAGGCTTGTTGTTGGAAAGGGCCTCGAGATTGATGACAATACCAGAGTATATCTCGAAGTTCATGCCATTAGTCAAATCAAGAAGAGATGACTATCGAGCAGCTGCTGCCTTTTTGTTCGGTTTCGCAAAAGAACCTGAAGTTTTGAACGTCATTTTATCAATGACAACTGATAAATCACCTGTTGTTAGATGTCAAGCTTTGTGGTCTGTTGCAAAGTTCATCAAACACAACATGTTGCAGCCTGAACAAGCAGTACTTGATATGTTCAAAGAAATGCAAAATGATAAGGCCGAATTCATCGTCAAAACAGCTACAGGTTTGTTACCGTACTTCGCTGATGAAAGGTTCAAAGATCAGAATATTCCACAGGATCAGATGCTCATTCAGCGTCTGATCTTAAATGTAAATGCAGTTGGATTCATGGAGAGATTCGAAAGTGATGCATTTTTGTGTGATGCATCATGTTAAAAAAAAAGAAAATTATTTATATTATTATAAAATGTTGTCTTATTAAAGTTTCGTATTATAATGAACTTGTTGATTTTTAGTATCTGATACTAATGTCGAAAATTAATTATTTTTTTTCCATTGTATATTTTTAATAATTTTCCATTTTGTAATAATTTATTTTTGAAAAATAATTTTATACATGTTTAAATATTCCCATTGGTCGGTATATATTTATATTAGGTCAGGTAAGTGGGGCTTCCAGGCGCGTTGCGCCCTCTAGCCCATAAGAAATTTTGCCCAAGACCCAAGAGGAGGACCGAACCCCAGCCGACCAGCCGGTGACAAAACCAAAACCGTTGTTATTTACATCATATTAATGGTGTCACTTTTTAAAATATCACTTTTTGTGTCACTTTTCACAAATTATATATGTTTTCATGTTTTGTCACTTTTCTGTCACTTTTCGGGTGAAAACATTTTTATTATTATATATAAATGAATTTTACAAAACCTCCGTTACCGTTCTTTGGAAATAAGAGTAGATGTAAAGATATTATATTGAGAGAACTTAAGAAACTACCGAATGGTCTAACATTTGTAGATTTGTTCGGTGGAAGTTTCTATATATCCCATTTATGTCATACCGTATTTCCTGACTCAAAGATTATATGCAATGACCTCGACAATTATATGGAGCGTCTCAAACATATTCCAGACACAAACAATATATTGAAAGAGTTAAAAGAAAAGATACCTATAGGTAAGATGGAACGTATACCATTAGATAACAAAAATATTGTGAGAGAGGTTTTGAAAAAAGCAGAATATATAGACTGGGATAGTATATCTGCTAGACTATTATATAGTGGTGCTATAAGAGTTCATGACATTGAAACACTTATGTCAAAAGTTTTATATCTTAACTATACAAATGTTTTCAAAGAGGACATAGAAAAATATATTGAGGGTATAGAGTTTGTGAGATGTCATTGGACAGAGTTGTATGAAAAATATAAAGACAAGGAAAATGTTTTCTTTATAGTGGACCCGCCGTTCTATAACACATGGGATTTTCAATACCAAGTAGACTGGACTTTGAGAGACTCTTTAGAAACTTTAGACGTTATACATAACCATCCATGCTTTTACTTCACATCCGATAAAAGTGGTTTGGAAACCGTTATGAGATGGTTAGAGGACATACATGACTATGAGTTTATATATGACAAGATAGAATATGAGAGAGGTCCTATAAACTGGAGAAAGTGTCACAATAAAGAAATTTTATTAGTAAGTAAATGTGGTTTGAAATAGGACTACTTGTTTTAGGTTTTTTCCATTGTGTCATTTATTTCTTTGACGTGGCAGAAAGATATAGAGAATATGAAGATGAACCAATGCCTGCAAATGTTCAGCATATGTACTCGTAAGAGATATTTTTATCTAATATTAAATGGACGCACAGAACTTAGCGAATGCACAGCAACCTGGACAACCAAACCCAGAGAATATTCCAAATGAAGTTAGAATACAAACTGCAATGGCAAAATATGGTCAAGTGCCAACAGATGTACAAATGCAAACTGCCATGTCAAATGACGCTGCGTTAGGTTTGCCACCATGGTATGCAAATATGAGATGGAAAGAGTTTTATACAAACCCTGAAGTGGGATATAAACAACTTTATGCAGATGACGCGAACACAGGAGTTGACCCAGAATATGTTTTCTACCAGAGGAGAAACAGAATGTATGAGCTCCAGTTAAAGAATGCTATGGAACTCAACAGGAAACGTAAGAGACTAGGCGGACATTAGATTTTTACATATAGTAAAATGGGTTTCTTCAGTAAGATAGGAAACTTCTTTCGAAATGTTGGAAGAGGTATATGGAATGGAATAAAATCTGTCGGAAGAAGAGTATGGAACGGTGTCAAAAATATTGGTAAAAGAGTAGGTCAGTTCGTTGGTATTATACCTAAAGACCCTGAACCAGAAGAACAAGCTCCTGTAATACAACAGCCTGAACCTGCACCACAGTCAAGTTGGCAACCACAACCGGTATATTAAAAAGTTATATTTTTACCGTTCGATAGTAGTTGTATATGAAACTAAGTTCTAAGTAAAACGCATGGTATAATGGAATTATTCTTTTTCTTCCATCTGTAGTAAACCATACTTGAAAGTCTGAAATACTTCCACTTGGTGGTTCGTATAACTTTGTAGGTTTTTCGTAAAAGTCATTTGCCAAGCATAAGAAAGAGTTTTGGGCGCCAGAAAATGAAGCATGAACTATCACAGCATCTTGGTCGAAAACATCTTTAAATAAATATGGTTCATCTCTTGCATATCGACTGTAGATATTTGCTAAAGGAGGTTCAACTTTCTGATTTAACATTCTTTGCAAATAATACCATGACATTGCAGTGAATTCTGTATATATTTGTTCGTCTTTATTTGGATTGTCTTCGTAGATTTGAAATGACACTTGTGAATTTTGTTTGTCATATACAATTCTCACATAAAGTGTGCTATCGGTATTCGCATATTCATCAGCATATTTTGCATAACATGAATTTATTTTATCTTCTATATTTTTTAATGCAGCCTGTAGAGAAGATGAGAGGTCAACTTGTATTAGCTCAATTTCTTCCCACATTTTTCGTTGCCCTTCAGATGTATAATCTATATGAAACCTTACAATAAATGGAAAACTTTTATCTTCTACAGACACAAACTTTATTCTTCGAAAGCCAATAGCTTTTGTGACAGATGGGTCTCTTAACCATCTTAATGGGTAGTCAAAACGATAGCCTTCATGCTTTATAGTATCTAAGTCAAACTTTTGACCGACATTAGTAAAAAGTTCATCTAATGGTTTAGTTGTAGCAACTCTAGAATTTTCTTTTTCTATTGGAAGCATATTTTATCTATAATAAAAATGTCAAATGAAACAGCGTCTATGCGAGAAATACAACACAACCGACAACTCATTATGCAAGCTCTAAATAAGAACACAACAAACTTTTCAAACTATTCTAAGATATCTGAGTCATTGAAAGGGGGTGACTTAAAACTGACATTAAACCCTATAACAGATGAGTTTCTATTTCAAGACAATAAGAACAATACTGTCTGTATAAATCCAACAAAAGGAACTTTAAACGAGAAACCTATAAATGAACTTCTTTTGAAAGCAGATGTTAACAACAAAGCTGACAAAGAATATGTAGACGATGCAATAGCAAAAGAAGAAGAAAGAGCTAACAATGCTTATGCAACAAAAGAACATACTCATCCTGAACTAGCAGACAAAACATATGTTGACAATAAAATGTCAAGTGAAGTGACAAGAGCTGAAAACAAATATTCTAAAAAGACTCATATACATTATATTAACCAAATACCAAGTCTTAAGGAAACATTAGAGACAAAAGCAGATAAGACTCATACACATTCTATATCTGATATTACAAACTTACAAGAAACCTTAAACAGGAAAAGTGACGTTGGACATACACATACATCTTCTGAAATAACAGACTTAAACGTTAGCCTTGAAAATAAAGCAGATAAAACATATGTCAATGAAATATACCAAAGTTTGATAGGAACAAAAAATATTGAAACTATTGTTGGTGACTTTTCTTTCAATGAAGAAAATAAATATTTTAGATGGCAGTTTGTACAGTCCTTAGAAAATGGTACACGGTATAAACTCATTCCGAAAAATAACAATGAAATGTATGTAAGCTATAAAAAGAATGATGGTACACAAGTTAAAGTTCCATTAGACAACAACTGCTACTTAAACTTATATGGAGACGAACAAAAGAAATATTTAAGAGTTTATGAAATGGCAGATATGACATTGCCTGACCCAGCTCCAGCACCACATTATTATGACTATGGAGATGACGACAGAACACCACATGTAGATGAACAAAAGCTAACATTATATTTAGATTATTATAGATATAAAAGATATAATGCAATAGAAAAAACGAGAATAGTATATTATTATACAGATGACAGAAATAAATATTATAGTCAAGACTTCACTTACCCTGAAAACATAAGATTATATTATTAAAAATATTCTGACACAAACCAGAAGAAACCTGAAATAGTTGCACTATATTTTAAGTTCAAAAGAGACAATCCTATAATATCTCATATGTTTGATTTAATGAACCCAGTAGGTTCTATTTATACATCTATGGATGCAAGAGGTCCTCAAGTAATGTTTGGTGTTGGTGCATGGGAACAAATAGTCGACAGGTTTTTGTATTGTGCAAACTCTTCAAAGGAAACAGGTGGAAGTAAAACGATTTCAGGTGAAAATTTACCTGCACACAGTCATTACATAGATTTAAGTACATCTCAAGCAGGTTGGCATAAGCATAGATATTGGGATTGGTCAGGAATGACAAAAGGTAAAGGATATGATGTTAAAGACGACGTTAAGTTTGCTATAAATTGTTACTGGAGTGACACTCAGGGAGAAGGAAACCATACACATTTCGTTTCAGGATATACGCAAACAACGGGACAAAGTAAAGAATACATGCCACCTTACATGACAGTTTACGCATGGTATAGAATTGCTTAGTCGTCATTTTCAACTTCTTTAGCATATTCGTCAGGAGTTGTCTTATATTTGTTAGGAACTGTCTTTGAAAGTATACCACCTTGAACTTTGACAAGTTTGAAACGAGGTCTGACAATAGTAGTTTTATCTTCTGCTTGCAGTGTGTACATTTTGCCATGTTTGCCTAAAACTTCATAATATTCTCTTGTATACTTTCTTCTATTTTTACGAACACGAATGTGAGTACCTGTCGGGTTCCCATTGTTGTCATAGTCAATAGTATTTTCATATGGGTCGCGTTTAGGTATTTCTATTTTTACTTTGTCACCTTTCTGAAGTTTGAAGCCCGGCATTCTTTCTTGTTTGTCTCTTTTGACTAAATTATTAAATATATAGTCTTTCTCTAAGTCAGGGTTGTTTTTCATTTCTTCGGGGGAGTGGTTTCCCAAACCTTTTTGTTTACGGCTATTGTAAATATTTAAAACTTGTCTCATCTTTGCCATGGAGAAGTGTCTATATTTGTCGTCATATGACATTTCATTTGCTTCACCACCTTGTGATTGGTTTAAGTCTCTTAACATTTTTATACAACCGTCAATGACACCAAGAGCAGAATGGTTTTGGTCGACAATGAAATATTGGTTTACATTTTTTGAACGCAGATAGTTTTTAATATCATCTGATTTGAAAGAACTTTCACAGTCAGATGTCAGTTTTGTTGGATGGTATTTGTCAACGAATATTGTCAAAGCTGCTAAGATATCTAAAATAGCTTTGGACTGTAATGGTATGGCTTCACAGTATCTTGTGTTTTGACCAACAAATATTAACCAGTATGGTGGTCCATCTTCTCTATACCTCGGAATGTTTTCCAAGATATCCATAAACCAAGCATTTGGTGTTGAACTAAAGATTTTTATCATGAGTGCTTTCTTTGTCGCTTTAGAAACATAGGGGTCCTTGTTCGGATTCGTCATTTTTTACCCTATAAGAAATGGGTTTATTTGGCGCATTAGCAGGAGTCGCATCTAGATTTTTACCCGCAGTGGGAACAATAGCCAGAGGTGTATTTGGAGTTGGAAGGAAGATTTTGAGTACATTAGGTATACTGAAAGAGAAAGCACAACCTATTATACAAACTATACAGAAAGGTTGGGATGTAGCACGAGATGCAACAAATCTTATTCCAAATCCTGAAACAAGAGGAAAAGTTCAAGGATGGATGGACAATGTAGGAAGACAAGCAGGAAACTATTATAACAAAGCAAATGACTACTATAACCAAGCAGGACACTATATGGACCAAGGTGAAAGATTCTTTAACAGAGGATATAACCATGCACAACAGTGGGTAAACAATAACCAACCTCAACCGCCTCAAACGTGGGGAATGTAAAGTTTTTTATTGAAATGAAATGAACAATGCAGCATTGAGACAAATGAGTTCAAGATGGATTTGTCGGCTTCCAGCATTTAAACCGATACCATATAGTCAGGCTCTGCATGTGAAACTGAATGATATTATTAAAGGAACCATCCCACCTCCACAACAACAACCAGTTGAAAACAAACCAAACTAAAATTTTTTACTGAGATGAAATGACCGAAGAAGTTGAAACGGTAGATTTGACACCACAAACAAAAAGTTCAGAACCATTGTCAAAACCTGTCAAAGAACTTACAGATGAAGAGAAAAATTCAATAATAGAAAGTGCCAGGTCTGGAAATACAAACCCTAACTATAAAGTCACTTTTCATAGAAATGGAACGGCTAGTATCTCAAAAAGAAACAGACTCTCACAAATAAAATATTGAAGTCTGAAGGAGCTTTCGAGACAACAGATGGAAAAGTTTACTTCACTGACCAACAGTTCATTATAGAACATCTCATTGACTTAGAGTCGAAATATTCTAAACTTTACAACAAACACAAAAAGTTGAAAGGAAAACAAAAACAAATGGCATATGATATTTATGAAGATGTTGACGACACAACTGTTCCTGCAAGTGAAGTAAAGTCAGAGGAACCGAAAAGTGACGAAAAACGATAGAAGAAGAAAAACCAAAAACTGAAGATAAACCAAAACCAAAGTTTAGTTTCCAAACTAAACCAAGTCAACCTTCATTAGCTGGTATGGGTTGGCGTCAAAGACTTATGGCAGCAGGCGGTTATGTAAAATAAAGAAAAAAATTTTTATTTTATAAAAATGCCCCATATAGAATGGACAGAAAGTCTGCTAGAATAAAAGCAGAGTTACAAAGATATGGTTGGAGAGTTTCGAAGAATTTTAAATATAGGAAGGGAAGACCCATAAAAGTCTATGACAAATTGTCTGGTCTTCGCTACGAAATGGATTTGGAAACAGCACGTGCCAATTATCCAAACAGACTAGAGAGGTTAGAAGAAGAACGTCTTATGGACATGCCTTTCGATGTTAGTGAACCTCAAGTTGAAGGAAACTTGTTTGTTAGATGAGAAATATGAAATTCACTGTTGTGAGTCATTTGAAGTCAGAAACAAAAAGACAAAAAGAGTTTTAAGCGAATGGGAGCGAAATGACGGATATGCTATTATGAAGATGGGTGGAAAACACTATCTTAAACATGTTGTCATTGCAACTCATTTTATACTGAATCCTAACAATTTACCTTTTGTAGACCATATAAACCATATAAGAAACGACAATAGACTTGAAAACTTACGTTGGGTCACTCGTTCTGAAAACAATAAGAACAAAGGCAAATTTGGAGATATTGTATTCGAATTTGTCGACGAACTAGAAGATGAAACAATTGAAATTACAGACTATGGCAAGCATACGTTTGAGTTTTACTACTATAGCGAAGAACAAGACTCTTTCTACTTTTATACCGGCGTAAACTATAGGAAATTACAAGTATATTTTACTAAGGCGGGCTATGCTTATGTAAACACTAGAGATACAGATGGAAAATACGTTCAAATACTTCTTAACAAATCCAAGAAGCTATATGGCATACCATTTTAAAACAATATATTTTTACATATATTAAATGCTTCAGGTTGAAAAACAAAGAACAAAAGTAGCAGATACAAAACCGTTAGACTATATCTTTACAAATGCTGGTAGGACTATTTCAGATGAAGAAATTTCATCCCGAGCATACAGGTTTGACTATCCAATTCGTTGGCTTCAAAGTCCTTCAGATGCAAAGGCAATAGCATTTAGAAGAGTTTTGTTTTCAAATAGAACTAACGCATTTATGTTCGCAGTATATTTTCATGGGCAGTATAAAGGTTCTGATGGTCTAATAGACAAATTTGACGAAATGAGAATCTTTACAGTTCGTTCAGACGAAAGTCTTGAGAAAACTCTAAATGACTTTCAAACTCAAATGAACAAATATTATTGGGAATTTCAAGAAAAATACGACTCTTTACTAAATGGAACATACTATCTGAAACTAGAATATGACAAGATGAACTCCACCGTTTCATTTCAAAAGATTGAAATTAACCCTCCAAGAGATACAGAGTTTTTATTTTGGGAAGTAGACAAACGTTCTTGGGCACAATTTCTTCGGTTACTAAACCAGAACGAACCATTACCACCAGATGGTCCATTTAAATTTATACTTCCACCAGCAGATTTGATGGTTTATAGAAACGTGTTTGACCTCAAAATGTTATGTGTCATGCAAGTTTCAGTTCAAGCAACAATAGTTTTCTATGTATTGGTAAGGACCTTTATGACTTTGCTTCTAAATTCTACGAACCACCTAGTAACAGTTTCTCTGACTTTCAAGTTTGGTTCACAACAAATGGTGTGCAACATATTATTCCATTGTACTATGACTTTTATCTCGAATTGTCTTTCATATATAACTACGGAAAAGTGCTGAAAAAGTATTGAATGTGAAGATATTAGAAAATAACATTTTTTCTAACATCGTAGAAAACTCATGAAAACAATTTATTTTTGACACTTTCACAAAAAACATAAAAAAGTGAGTTAAAATGAGATGTTTACTGAACTGGCTGAATGTCGCCTTCTGAGGTTATGTAGAACGGCTGACCCGAGAAGTGGAACAGTGCTCTGAGAATTTGTATAATTCGTGGAATTGGACTCTCTCTGTTTGGAAGTTGTATCCATGGGCGCTTTGCAAAGAACTTGAGAAGAGCTTCTTTCTTTGCTTGCTTTATGTCGTCGAAAGGAGTGCCTTCTGGTACCTCAATTTGAATTCCAGTCGAAATCTCGAGAGTCAAGGCAGCCCTTCCCGTTATCCAACCGTTAACAAGCTTGCCTTTTACATTCTGCCTGAGGAAGTCTTTAACAAGCTCGTTAAGTTCAATGAGGTAAATTGCCTCGTCAAGTCTTTCTTGCATTCCAAGTTCTTCCATCCGACAGGAAAATATTTTCCCGACAAAGTGAAAAATTTTTCCTTCCGACAGGAAGAACTCTTCCAGTTGTCCGTCCGTAAACCATTCAAATTTTCGAAAATTGAGAACTTTTTGGTCGAAC